CTCAATTTTATATAAACTCATACATTTTCATAAATATTTTAATTTTGTGCAAAAAAGGGACTTTTTTTAAATTATTATTATAATATATTTAAATACTTATAAATATTTTTACATTGTTTTTTTTTTTTGCAATTTATTGAAACTACTTCTCTGCGTAGAAATTGCATTTAATTTTACTGAAATAAAATATTTAAAAATAGTTTTATTTACAATTTACTTTTAAAATTTTTTCGTAATATTTATAATAAAAAACAACTTTGTTTATATTATTAAATATTATATATTATTAATATTATAAATAATATTAATGTTATAAATAATATTAATATTACAAATAAAATTAATATTATAAATAATATTAAACAAATAAATATAAATTATATTTATATTATGAATATATTAATAATAATTAATAATTAATATTATATTATAATAATATTAGTGTTATAGAACATAAATTTCTTTATTAAAATATTTAATTTATAGAAAACAAAACAAAAACAAATAAAATAATTATATAAATTTTATATATATATATATATAGAAAATAACTGTAAAAAAATTGATATCTTGTTATAGAGCACAAATTTCTTCATTGCAATTATTTAATTTATTAAAATAATTAAAAGAAATAAAACTTAAGCAACAAATTTGTATATAAGAATTAACAAAATAATCAAAAATATTTTATATATTAAGATTTATAATGTTATGAACTCTTATCCTAGATAAGATAGACCCCAATAAAAGAGACAGCTGAAATTAATACAGCTGCTTGGTCGACAGAAAAATCTGAAGATACTGCAGAAGGTCAACCCGAAAATGAATAAAATTAGAAAAATAGCATATAATATTATAATTATAATATATTATTTTATTATAATTATATTATAATTCTAATATTTTAATTATAATATAATTAATATTATTATTATATTATGTTTATTATTAATAATTCTTCTATAAAAACTTTATATGAGACAAAAACAACTTTAAAACAAGTAATAACACTAATATATTTATACACTTAAAATATTTCACTTACGATTCGTAACATTATTACCCACTCACCAAAACAATCTGAAACTTTATGTCTCTAATATATTCAAATAAATTCATACGTCAACAAAAAGTGTAATTTAGATATACAGAGTGTTTTCTATCCACATGTTATTTGAGTTTCGGGAAGTGACCTTTTTTTTTGTGGATCACCAATTCAAAATATTTTCGAGACTACGGACGTATGTACGACAAAAATCTTTAGTCAAATACTATCAATATCTTAAAAATGTTAAATCAAATAGCATAACTCATACATCGTTTTCTTCATATACCATATATAATTTTAAGCTCATTAAATACCCTTTTATTTACTATTTTAGACGTTCTTGTATCTAAACGGGTTCCGAAGTTATGATGGTGGGATGTGGATTTATTGTGAAAGTTCTCTTCATTTTGTGAGATAAATAATATTTTTCTACAAAAATTTTGAATAATTAAAGTTTCAAAATATTTAATTTTAATTTTTTATAAGCTCAAATTTTTATATAATTTAATTCAAAATATTTAACAAAAATTTTTAAAGAAATAATTTTTTTCAAACTTTTATGTCCGATACTTGCTTGAGACTCTAAACAAGTATGGGATAAAGTTTTTTTTATGTTTAAAATAATAAATATAAAATAAAAAAATAAATGTAATTTTAATTTAATGTTAAAGTTAATAATAAAAGATATTTGGTTAGATTTGAATAAATTTAAATTTTAGAATCCAACTTTAATTTTTTATCTGTAAGAATGATATTCAATACATTTTTTAAAACTACAATTAGTCTTCTTATAAGACTATACCTTTGAAGTATTATACTTTAACTTAATTATATATTTTTCGTTTACTTTAATATTAATTAATCTTACAAATAATATTATTAATATTTAAAATCTCTTGTTTAAATTTCGAAAGCCTTCTGAGATTCAAAAATATTCTATACATTTACTTGTCTTATTTTTACACTTTTCAACTCAAGACTTTAAGAAGAGAGCTTTTATAATTCTTCCATTCATTTTGTTAATATTTTTACACAATTATTTTATTTCATTATTTGTTAATTATTTATTTAATATTTTACTCTAACTTATATTCTTTTTCACTCATTAATCTATCTGCTATCGTTAGGAGTTTGTTGCAAATCTAAAAAGGTGGTTATTGAATATCATTTTTGTTACTTATTCGGAGGTATCTTAAACACTTTTTTGATATATTTAAATTGTTAGATATTGCTTTACATTTACTTAATTAATGTGTGTTTTAATATTCTTTAATTATGAGTTTAAAAATTTAATGAAATATTCAAATGGGTATTCATTTATGCATTCGAAAATATGCTTTTGTTAATTTTAAACAAAAACCTTTTAAAATTTTATTTTATTTTTAATATTTTTCCTTATTTATTTCACATTTATATAAATTAATTAAGTATAAATATATTTACTAATGATATCAATTCCTGATTTTAATGATTATATATCCTTTTTAGCATCTCTTTAATATTTTTAATCTGGAATTACATATAAGAATGATATTGGTTTATATGAAGCTTGCGTGTATTAAAAGTTAATTTGTTTTTATAGTTAAAATTAAATTCAATGGAAGTAATAAGTAATAAACAAATAAATAATAAACATTTTATTGCATAGTTAAAAGGATGTGATATTAATATCAATTTTGAAAATCGATAAAAAAAATATGGTGTTTTTATATAAATGGTTATCGAAACATTAAAAACAAGTCATAAAAGATATTGTTTGCTGAATTAATATTGACGTTTGGTCCAACAATAACATCATTAATGTTTATCTTTGTAATAAAATCTTATAGTTATTCTTTTTTTTGAGCTATTATAAATTTTATTATTAAATGACTGTCAAAGTAATTGGCTTTAATTTTTCTTTCTATCATCCCAACAAACCCTAAAATTATTTTTAAAACAATTTGTTTTTATTTCTATATAAAATTTAATATTAGAATTTTTGTAGAAGTTGTAAATGTCTTTATATAAAGTTAAAAATTCAATATCTACAGCACTTATATCTTACCCATACTCCTTCAAACACTGTTAGCAATTTTAGCAAAATCAGCATTATCCACATGAAGTAACTAAGTAAGGTTTGTATTCGTATAAGATTGGTTACTACTTATATTTATCAAACTTCAATATGCTATAAAAGCAAATCCAAAACTAGAAGTAACTGAATCATAAAGATATCCAAAGCACAGACAACTTATATATATATCTCTAACGTCACTATGGATGACATTTTATTTTGCATATGGAAATGTTTTAAATTCTCAATCTCTCTTCACTCAAAGTTAAGTGTTCTTTGATGTGAGGTATGTTTGTTAATGAATATACATTTTTATGGATTGGTCACCGATCGAACGCGCTAATTTCAATATTTTAATGGGAAGTTATTTTGAATGACATTGCACATCTATATATATAAATTTCTTGTGACATCCAATAGACAGAAAACAAATTTATATCACAAAAATTGGTTCTTCACAATATATTAATGCATAACATTTGTCCTTCACACAAACAGGGCGCAAAACATACTCGAACACATAATCGTTCGATTTATTTTCGAAAAATTTCGGTTCATTTGCCCCCCTTTAGTTACCTGACTAGTTACAGTTTGCATATATCAACATTATGGCTCTAATTTAATGCCCCTTAAGTCCCCTTTTGGTAAGTGTCTGATTACAGTATATAGAAATTACCGATATTTTTATCATGACGTCCATTAGGCTGTAGTATGATATATAATGCATTGTCAAACTCTGCGATTTAAAAAGAGTGGTTTAATTTCTATCAGTCTGTCTCAGCTAGAATAGTAAAATTCATTTTTATAGAACTAACTATACAAACTAGAATTGGTGTTGGTCAAATATATACGTCCACACCAATTTATATCAATCAAAGGAGTACATAGGTATGCGGTTCAGCATCAGCTTCAAGTATTAAATATATAAAAGTCGCATAACTACATTTTGGTAAAAATTATGTAAAAGCATCAGCGAGCATATATCAAATATATATTTTCATTAGTGTTTACAACATACTTTACTTGTTGTGGTTCATGTTTTTTGACAAGTAATATAAAAGAATTTGAAATGTATCTGTTTAGAGTAGTAATAATTATTTTTAACATTGTTTTACACTGCAACACTGTTTGTTTGAAAGGTGATTTGCATTTTCATTTTTGCTTTATTAAATCTTTGTTCTTGCTTTTTTGCCTTTTATGCTTTGTAACAAAATTTGCAACTCTCTCTTACCGGTTGATCGTTGGCGAAGACGCACGCATTTTGTTTCTTTGGTTCACTCGTTTATAAACTTTCAAATTTTGTAAAATAAATAAGAATGTACATTTATATAAAATATTATCATTTCGAAACAATATATAAATAAATAATTACAAAGTGATAAAAAATATTATCATATCAAAACATTGGTGACCCCGACGTGATCGGATTGAAAAAATATACTCGGATTTAATTTCGTACAAAACATTTTATAATGCACATGCATTTTAATTTTGGAAACATTTTTCGATGAAGTTTGTCAACTCGGACAAGTTTAACATACATTTTGATTGCTATTGTGCATTCTTTCTATTTTTACTTTCGCTGCATTTATGTGCAAACTTTATTTTATGCTATCGTGTCATAAAATATATTCAATTAATTTCAGTTTAAAGTTCGGCAGATCGGACATATATAAACAATTTGTGCTATCGTGCATTTCTTTATTTTGGATCGGTATATGAACAAATATTATTTTACGCTATCGTGTCATAAAATAAATTTTAGTAAGTGTCGTGTTTAAGATTTATATTTGTCAATTCGGGCAAATACAAAACGCAATTTTCGGTGCAATTGTGCAACTAATTCATAATACGAACACGCTACATTTGAAATTTACACGAGTTAAATTATTGATCATGATAGACGAAGTTGAAGTAAATGGGGCAACAGAGCACTCAAGTGAGCCTTCACAAATTCTCTTAAAATCAAGATCCACTTCAATAAAGTTTCAATTAACAACATTCAATGAGACTCTGACTCCTGAATATTTAAGCAGTTTGTGTGATTCCGATATTTCTGTTCGGCTGGAGCATGTGGAGCGTCTGGCCAATAAATTTGAAAATACTCAATCTACTCTTGAGGAATTGGACATATCCGAATTTGATGGAATGGTCCGGTTTGATTTCGATATGTTGTACTTGAAAGTTCGATCAAAACTTCAACATGAGCTTCAAGTCAGACGTACATTCAATTCAAGTTGCTCTACAACAATACATAAATCGTCAGGTGAGAATCAGCAAGACATCAGGTCAATGGCGCATACAATTAGGCTTCCAGAATTACAAATACCAAAGTTTGATGGAAATTATACTGAGTGGCCTAGTTTTCATGCCATATTTGAAAACTTAGTTCACAATAACCAAGAACTATCTGAAACAGAAAAACTACAACATTTATTTTCAAGCGTAAAGGGCGCAGCATTTGACATCATTAGATCGTTGAGTTTAAGTGATGCAAATTATGCTAAGGCTTTAGAATTACTTAAAAAGAGATTTGATAATAAACCTTTAATTTTACAGGCACACGTCAAGGAAATTTTGTGGGCAAGGGATATATCGAATGAATCATCGACAAAGTTAAGAGAGCTTAGTGATCGAATCAATTTGCACATGCGTGCTTTACAAACATTGGGCACCAAAGAACAAATCGCAGACAATTTCTTGATCCAAATCATCAGTGCCAAGCTCGATTCTAAATCAAAGGCTAAATGGGAAGAAGAGTTGTCCGTCCATGATTTGCCAACGTGGGAAATGATGACTGACTTCTTAGAAAAAAGGTGTCGTGTATTGGAGAATATGGACGGTGCTATGGTCTCCCTAACACCTAGCCACCAGGTAGGAAAGAAAATTACTAAAAAATATAGTTATTTGGCAGCAAATATGGGTACTATCTCTTGCGTATTTTGCGACTCAAAGGATCACTATATTACAAAGTGCACACTGTTTATAAATCTTTCCCCAACGCTTCGATATAAAGAAGCAAAGAAGTTGCTGTTATGTTTAAATTGTTTACGCAAGGGTCACGCATTGAATAAATGCAAGTCTGGACATTGTCGTCATTGTGCTTCAAAGCATCATTCATTGCTTCATATGCAATCTGTATCTCCAATTAATTCGAAAGGCGTTGCACCTGAAATACATATAGCAAATCGGTCGGAAGAGCCATCAACTTCAAAAAATACGTCGCTGCTCTCACTGTCCTCTGTAACGTCTATTCCTAAAGCCCCAGAATTTCTATCTGAAAATAGTGTGCTACTAGCTACTGCAATCATTCTCATCAAAAATTCCTCAGGAACTTTCGTTCCATGTAGAGCAATTCTCGATTCTGCGTCTCAACTCAATTTTATAACTTCTCGTTTAGTCAACTTGCTGCAGCTAAATACGAAAACAACATACACAACCATATCAGGCATAGGGGATTCTACACTTGAAACAAACAAGGTTGTTGAGCTATTTACAAAATCGCACTCAGGCGATTATTCAACTTCATGCACTGCGATCGTTACAACAACTATCACAGATCCTCAACCAAACTTTAACGTAAACATTTCAGATTGGTCAATTCCAAACAACATCACCTTAGCTGATCCGATGTTTTTCAAATCACAGAGAATCGATGTGTTACTAGGTGGCGGCTTATTTTTTAACTTATTGTGTATTGGACAAATTCGTCTGGAAAATAATTTTATGTTACAGAAGACAAGGCTGGGTTGGATAGCATCAGGTGGCGGTATTATTCCAAAATACAATCACTCATTTTCGTTAGCTATAGCTAAGAAATCAACCACTGAATTGGAATTTGAAAATGAAAAATCGTTAAATGAAATTGTAAAAAGGTTTTGGGAAATAGAAAATTGTTTTGACGCGCACTCTTCGCTAACAGACGAAGACGCATATTGCGAAACCCATTTCAAACAAAATTTTACTCGGTTAGATTCTGGTAAATATTCTGTTTTACTTCCTAAGCAGCGTAATATCGACTCACTCGGAGATTCTTATAATCATGCACTTCAACGATTTCACAGTTTAGAAAGAAAGTTGCAACGTAATGCTGATTTAAAAACTCAATATGTTGATTTTATTAATGAGTATATAAATTTAAAGCACATGTCACCAGCACAATTACCATCAGGTGTTCCAACGTGTTTTTTACCTCATCATTGTGTGCTAAAAAATGAAAGTACAACTACAAAATTGCGTGTGGTTTTCGATGGGTCAGCTAAAACATCCACCGGATTTTCTCTTAATGATCTGCTGATGTCTGGACCTACAATTCAATCCACACTCTTTGAATTAATTATTCGATTCCGATATTTTAAAATTGCTCTTTGTGGAGATATCTGTAAAATGTATCGATGCGTGCGTGTTACACATCCCGATGAATATCTTCAGTGCATTTTGTGGAGAAGTAATCTCGATGATGACGTAAAGGTATTCAAATTGGACACTGTGACATATGGAACAAGGCCAGCTGCATTTTTAGCTATTCGAGCAATGCATCAGCTGGCTCGCGATGAAGAGAAATCATACCCATTGGGTTCTAAAATCGTTCTCAGAGATTTTTATGTAGATGATTTAATGTCAGGCGGCGACACCGTGGATGAAGTAATCAACATTAGAAGGCAAACTACTGAATTATTAAAAAAGGGTGGTTTCCAGATCAGAAAATGGTGTTCCAATAATCCAAGAGTATTGTGTGGTATCGCTGAATCCGAACGTGTACAATTATTGAAATTTAAAGATGGTTCTGATATTACTAAAGCATTAGGTTTAGTATGGGATCCAAACCACGACAATTTTTTATTTTCATTTACTCCAGTGGTAGGTAGCCAGCAAATTAACAAACGTACTGTTCTCTCAACTATAGCCCGTTTTTATGATCCAATCGGATTAATTGGACCTATCATCACCAAGGCTAAAATTTTCATGCAAACCTTATGGAAACACAAATTGCATTGGGATGAGAGTCTACCACAAGCATTATACTCAGCATGGATTGAACTTCGCTCTCAACTTACAATTATCAGCAGTTTTAAATTCCCTCGTTATGTTTTAATGCCTAATTCTAAAGTGCAGATACATGGTTTCTGTGATGCCAGTCTGAGTGCTTATGGTGCATGTATATATATCAGGTGTGAGCGCTCGGGTGCATTTGATTCGCATCTACTATGCTCCAAATCAAAGGTTGCACCACTAAAGACACTTACAGTTCCCAAGCTAGAACTTTCAGCTGCTCTACTTTTATCGGAACTCATTGATATGGTCGTCAAAACTATAAATTTTACATGCGATTTTCATTGCTGGTCAGACTCAATGGTGGTATTATCTTGGATACGTGAACAACCGTCCAATTTTAACGTTTTTGTCTCTAATAGAATTAGCAAAATTCAAACTCTTACCTGTGGCATGAATTGGCATCATGTACCAACTTCTATGAATCCTGCAGATATCTTATCAAGAGGAGCAGCGCCAGATGAACTTTTAGCCTCAACACTTTGGACACAAGGACCTGAGTTTTTAAGACCATCGCATTTACATTGGCCCCAAAATACCGTTTTCGTAGCAGAATTACCTGAACGACGCAGGAGAGTTTTAATAACTACATGTCAGCAAGATTTAACGCTATCCTGTAAATTCGCTAACTCATTTAATAAAATGCAGATAGTTTTCGCATATATTTATCGATTCGTGTCACTCAAACATAAAGAGACCATAAGGAAAACTGGCCAACTTGATCCTCAGGATATTGAAAGGGGTACAAAATTAATGATTTTAAACATACAACAAACTCATTTCGCTGCTGAATACAAAATATTAAAAAAAGGAGAAAATGTTAATAGTTCAAGTAAACTTTACTCCCTCAATCCTTTTATTGATTCATTTGGAGTAATTCGTGTAGGTGGTCGACTAAAACATTCATTACTAAGTTTCGAGGCTCGCCATCCAATGATACTTCCAAA